GGGGAAGAAGGAGGAAGAGCAGGAGGAGGAGGAGGAGGAGGACGAGGAGTAGGAGTGGCCGAGCAGGAGCATGAGGAGGAGGAGGAGGAGGAGGAGGAGGAGGAGGAGGAGGAGGACGAGGACGAGCTGGAGGAGCTGGAAGAGGAGGAGGAGGTGGCCGGCCCGGCAGGGCGGGCCTGGTGGGAGCCGGGCGCGGCCACGCGGAGGGGCGAAAAGCCGGGCTTCGCAGCGGGCCCGTGCTGCGACGGCTCGCGGGCGGGTGTCCGGCACCGAGCGGGCCGCTCCACTGCAAAAAAATAAGGGCGGCAAGTGTTTCACGATTTCCGACCCTCGGGGGCCCTCGCCGGGCCCCGGGACCGTCCAAACACGACTGATCAGGATGAAAACCGGACTCGGAGAAAGGGTCGGGACTTCCAGGGACGCCGTCTTGTAAAAATCACGATGTCGCATGTCTGGGCTTGGATCGCCGTGGTGGTTGCTAACGGGATGATAAAGGGGGTTAGAAGTGTACGTGAAAGAGTGTTTGGTCTGGCCAAGTCCACCTTGCAAGTGGGTTACAGGTGCCCTCTGTGGCTCAGGATGGTGAGGCAACCCCGCCAGGTGGGCTCCGCCCACTTGGCCCAGATCTGTGCGCCCTGCAGCCACACAGGGCACGTGCAACCCGCTCCTAAGCTGGGTTTGGCTGGATAGAGCCCACCTCAGCATCCACTTGTGCCCCCCCGTCCTCTCAGCAGCCCCCGCGGCGATCCGAGCCGGAGCGCCGCGAGGCCGGCAGGAGAGCCCGGGGCGAATCGCGTCGCGACCACGGGATATGTCGGCCCCGATCCCGGAGGGGCCAGAAATTTGGGGCCCCTGCACGGCAGGGGGGGGCCCATCCTCGACAAGATGGGGGGCGTGTGCGAATAGCCCCCTTGGGGTGCATCCCGGGGTCTCGCTCTTCTTCTGAGCGGCCAAGCTGTTCGGGCGGAACTCGGGGCATAGGCGGAGGCAAGCACAAGCCGCCTGCAAGGCAAGCAGGAGAGCCCAGGACGAATCGCGTCGCAAGTGCAGCGCAGCTGGGGATGCGTCTGAGCGCACGGGTCACACTAATCCGCCACGGTCAGCGCGCGGAGGGCCGCTGGGCCGTTGCAAGCGCTGCCAGCACCAGGGTCCTTTCCAGCACGACGTGAGACTCCTGAGACGCGGTGGGGTCCGAAGACGGGCGGGCAGGCAGGAGCGCTGCGTGCCTGAGCATCGTTTACCAAATCCCTATCCCCCCTCACGTGGCCTGGGACCCACCGGCCTGTTTACCCCCCTGGATGGGGACGTGGGCCGTTCCTGTCAGATTCTGCAGCGTATGTCCCCAACTGGGGGGGATGAGATGGTGGAGGTCTGGATGGGGGTGGGGATGGGGATCGGAGTCGGCTCAACGAGAGGGGAAAAGTCGAATCGGCAGGAATCGGCAGGCCAGTAGACCTCCATTGAGACATCGGAGCCCCAATCGGAGCCCGGAGTCGAGTCGGATCGGAATCGGAACCCCTCGAGATCGAATCGAGCCGAATCGGAGGAACCGAAAGGAGCGCTGGTCGGGCGAGGAGGCAGGAGCGCGGCCTTCCGACGACGCAGGGCGCTCGAAGGCGGCGACATCTCAACGATGGGGCCCAGAGACACACGAATAAACACACACATATCCCAGGACTCCCCATCATTTCTCCTATTTTGGGGGACTTCCATGTTGTCCGGGGAACTGACGATGAATTGTGTGTCTGTGTGTTTTTTCCCCCCCTGGGTCGAGCGACGTCGGCGGCGGTCCGCCCCTGGAGAGCGGCCCGACGCGCCGGGGCCACCGCCGCGCCCCACGGCGCGCTTTGCATGAAGCAGCGCGGGGGGCCGGGATCTCGGAAGGGAGCGGAACTCTCCGCGGGGACGCAGAAGGCCACGGCTCCGAGGAGGGGGGAGAGGGGAGCGAGGGGAGGGGAGCTCATGATCGCGTCGTGGAAATAGGGAGCGGCCAAGAGGGGGGTGTCCAAGAGGGGGGGGTGCAAATCATGAACGGCGGCATGTGCGCGGCCCAGCGGGGGGGCCAGGAACGTAATGAAGTAAGAAGAGGCGCCATGAAATCTGGGGAAATATCATGGCCCACGCCATGATATCCACCCCCCCCTAGTCATCACCCCCCTCTTTTCCGCCCCCGAGGAAAAATCAGGACGGCAAATTTTTCACGATGTTCGACCCTCGGGGGCCCTCGCCGGGCCCCGGGACCGTCCACAAAACGACTCAGGATGGGAAACCGGTCCCAGGGAAAGGGTCGGGACTTCCAGGGACGCCGTCCTGAACAAAACAGAACGTCGCATGTCTGGGCTGGGATCTTTGGAGTCCCGAAACGGTGCGGTGACAGGCCGTGCGGTGACCTCGATATCCCCCAAGGCCTCACCGCACCGCACACTGGGACCTCAGAGAACGACCCGAGTCCCAAAACCATGCGGTGACCCCGAATCCCAATCGACTCACCACACGGTGTGGTCACCATCCCGTTTGGGGGCCTCCGAGGATTAGATGTCATGGCACGGGGAGCCGGAGGGGGTGGGGACGAGGAGGGGGAAGGAGGAGACGTGAAGGAGGGAGAGGTGGATGTTGGTGGTGTGGGTGGTGCAACCATGGTGCTATATATTTGTTGCAGTCCATGTGGTGCAATCTATGTGGCAAAAAGCAATGCGAGGCAAAGTTCAAACATGGAAAGCAATGCAAGCTGAAAGCAATAACAACCAATGCAAAGCAACGCAATGCAAAAACATGCAAACATTGCGATGCGAACGGGATGGTGTAACGGGAGGGGGGCAGCGGGAGGGGGGAGGTGCAACGGAGCGGCGGCGACGGACAGGAACGGGGCCGCCCGGCCAACAGACGTGTTCATTATTGGGAAAAGCGGCGACGGACGGGAACGGGTCCGCTGGACCAACTGACAGGCACAGTTCCTCAGACGATATATAGAAGCCCAATACCGTTTGGGGAAAATATCTATACGCAGCACCCCGCAGTCGCGGATAAGAAAGAGAGGGCGGCGGGGACGTCTGCAATCTGCGAGGCTCTGAATAAGTCCACCGCGAGCGCCTCACTCTTACGAATTAGATGACGAAACCGCCGCCGGCGCCGATTTTTTGTTAAAACAATGTGGGTGGGTCGCGGGGTCGGTCGCGGACGGCTCGCGGGGTGGTTCGCGGGTGGGCTGCGAGTGGGTCGCGGGGTTGGTCGCGGGTGGGTCGCGGGTGGGTCGAGGGCGGGTCGCGGGGTGGGTCGCGGGTGGATCGCGGGCCGGGTCGCGGGGGGGACGAACTGATGCAACGAGATCTGCCACTACGCCCTCGCCCGTTTGGGCGTAGTGGACTGACTACTAGCTGGCTGGCACGGTCTCCGTAATCCCCACAAGGTGAATCGGCCTTCGCAACATCAACGGCCCTTGGGGGAAACAGGCCCTCCGATCAGCGTAGGCCGTTGGGAAAAATCGCCACCTGCGCTTTGCTTTCCGGGCTCTCCGATGCCCAAAGACGTCCCCGGGACGTCCCACAGACGGCCCTTAAGATGACTTCAATACGCCACACGGCCGCCTGACAAAGGCCTGAAAACCTCCCAGAAACTCCAACCCGTTCCCGAAGAATCTTCCAGGAAACGCCAAGACCCCCCCCTCGAGATCCAGCAGCTACATGAGGACGTCAAAAAAAACGACAACATTCGACAGTGCAATGCCACTTGGCTTCGAGGAGTAATAGATACGTGTTCGTAGAAGACGTCCGAAAATGCCGACACGGGGTTAGAGGGTCCCAAGAAATTCCCAATACGGCCTCAGACGGGCCGAAATATTGCCCGATGACGACCCGATGAATCCCCCGGACGCCTCCAAACCAGCTCCGAACGACATCAGAACGGATCCCAGAACCGTCCAGAGGACGATCCCAAGAGGATTCGTCCGAGCCTCCTTGCAAGTGATGTATTTTTCTGGATGTCGACATTTGGAGGAAGGCGTGGGGAGGGGGTGGGTCCACGTCTGGGCGGCTGCGTGATCGATCTGCCGTTTTACCATTCGAGCGAGCAGGCTGGGAGGGGGAGGGGGGTCCTGACAAGTCGCCAGCAGCAGCCGCCCCAAGCAGCTGCCCCAAGCAGCCAAGATGTGGTCTGTGGTCGGGGTGGGGCGGGGGAGGTGGTCGGGTTGTGGATGCCATGACAATGGACCCCCTAACAATCCGATCATCGAATAAAACACACGTTCCAAACCTCTGCAAAACATGTGTCTTATATGTTTGGGACGTGTCCAAAGCATCCGGAAATCATTTGGCAACATGCTTCCACTCCATTGACCGTCGTCCACAAGGCTCGGGCCTGCGCCGATCGGCGGAACAACAAAACAGCAACAACAAAAAAACACAGCCACCTCGGGGAACCTCGGAAGGTCCGTCGCGCCCAGGACGCCCCACGCCCCCCAGCGAGCCCCCCCCGGAGCCGCAGGTGGGCTCTCGAGCCCCCTATAGAGCCCCCCACGGGAAGCCTCCGGGAAGCCCCCCCTCCGCCAGCCAGCACGGCAGCCACGCGGCGTGGCGGCCACGAGACGCTGCAGCATCGTGGCGCTGCTGCAGGACGGCACAAGGGGGTTCTGACGAGATGGGGAAAAGGAGGAGAAAGAGGAGGAGGAGGAGGAGGAGGAGGAAGAGGAGGAGGAAAAGGAAAAGGAGGGCGAAGAGGAGGAGGAGGGGGAGGAGGAGGATGAGGAGGAGGGGGGCGAAGAGAAGGACCAGTGTAAAACCACGATTCAGCGAGAGCTCGATGGAACCATCGTGCCCAGGGCATCCCCAAGAGCGCCCAGGCGGCCACTGGGGCCTATGTAGAAACATGGTTGCACCGAGCCTCTTCGGGAGAGCTCCGTAAAAACAATCCCTGCACGAATCTTGATGCGCGATCGCACGGTGGCAGCGCCTGCCGCGGGCAGCTGGGTAGCGTCGGAGCAACTGGGGGACGGCTGAGGCTGTGGCAGAGTACTGCCTTCTGGCAGTCTCTGTGACGAGCTCCACGAAGAGCTCGAAGGGTAGCGCCGGCTCTGCACCTGGAAATGGAGAGGTGTGGTCGAGGGGGGGCTGTGATGAGGTGGTGGAGGCAAGAAGTAGAAGTAGGAGTGCCACAATCCAGAGGCTCGACGTTTCAAGCGCCAGTCAATCAGGGCGGCGCGAAATTGTAGCAAAGATTACGGTGACTGGGTGCGCGGTGAAAACAAGTAAAAGCTTGGCGTTGCGGCTGTGTCGCACATGCAGCTGCTGATGGGACGGCCTGCTCGAAGCCTGCTGACACCCATACCCCATCTGCCTGTCGCTCTAGCACACCACCTCACAAATCACAGCGCCCGCGGCCCTCTATTAAACTTGATCTAGCTTTGCAGTGCGGCGCAGGAGGGCAAACTGATAAAACCTTTCACGGTAATGTCAAGCTCGCCCGGGCGAAAGTTAGAATTGTCAAGGGGCACGACGGCAACACTAGGGGCAATAGCAAGAACAATACAACTGATGCCATACACAACGTGGACCTACCAGCAAGTACTGACACCCGTAACTCTCGAGGTACGTGGGATCAGTGTGCAAGATTGCCGTCAGCCTGGAAGCTGCACTACAGGGAAACAAAAAGAAGCGACTAAATAGCACTCCACTAACACCGCCTCTTTCTCCTTATGCTCTTAGTTTTCTCCTTTGCAATTCACCATCGTTTAGCGAGACTTGAATGATTGGAACTCTTGGCAATTCACGGCCTAGTGGAATACTCGCTTCACTCGACACTTCGGTTTCAAGATCGCCTTACATGGCCCAAGAGGCCTCCAATAGTCCCAAGAAGCCGCCAGAGTCCCTGTAGAGAGGCCCAATAGACCCCAAACAGGGGCCCAAGAGTTCAAAAGGAGAACCTCAAATGGGGCACTGGGGGCCCTCCACCAGAGGATGACCCCAGAGACTGGCCCCAGGCCCCCAAGCATGAGGCCCCCAAGGTGGCCCCAGAGGACACCAAGAGGGCACAGAAGGCCCCGAAGAGGCCCTTAAAGGCCATCCAAGAGGCCCCAAAGAGGACTCTAACAGACCCAAGAGGCTTCCAAGAGACCCCACGCGGCCTCCCGCCCACGACCGAGGCACAGTTGCGGGATGGGCTGGAGGCGAGTAGACAATCGCCGAGGTGCGTGAACCAGACAGCGTCCACACGGCGCCCACACGAATCCAAGCTCGTTTATGTGGCGTGGATGACGAAACATATCTCCAAGGCTGTGCTTCGAGAGGAAGCGGGTGGTGCGCCTCCCCCTTAGACGGCTGTCAACACGTGCTCAGAGGAACACCACGAACAAGCATGTGTGCACAAAACGTGTGGAAGGCAATGCGAAACGGTGAGGCGGTCAGGCGCGCCTGCAACACATATTCTCGCAGCAGGACCAACGTAAGCAACCACCACCACATACCACAAGATGCAGTAAGGAACAACCAACTACGTTGTGGCCGGGGCAAGGAGGAGTCACTACATAACGACGTTGGTGATACAGCAACGTATCCCCGGGCGGTGACGAGCGCCTGTAACAACTGTGCACAAAGATCATCGGACATCTGTTCAGAGCTCGCATGATCGACCATCTTACACAAACGGCGCATAGCACCCAATGTATCATATGCCAACGCTTTCCCCGCCTTGTGATTCACTAACAGCTTGATTCGCGTTTCTACTGTTGACTACAAGTCTCACTCGGCTAAATCATCTTCCTTCCCTGCCTGGCCACGATCATGTGATAACCCACCTGCATCCTGACTCATCCTCGTCCCATTGACCACCATCCTCTTGCTTCTCTTTTTACCCATCCAAGACTATTGCCCACTATCTCTTCTCGTCATCGTGCATGTGCACTCCCCTTCTCATCTTTACCCTCCTTATTCGAGCAGAGCGCAGAAATGGACGGAGCACTATCTGGCTTCCCCAGGTTCAATGCTCCGAACCGCCGTGCAGTACCGTCGAATGCTTCCTCTCGGGAAGCAGGGGCGGTCTGAAGGCGAATGTGATGAAGGATGACGTAAGACTTGGGTTCAGGGGACTCGGGTTGGCCTGTCGGGGCCATCATGAAAATGACCAGACGCAGTCTGAAATTTGGCGCGACCTCCCGCTGCAGACACCCCGCGAAAACTGTACCGTCGAAATCCAGGACGCGCTTGTCAAAAAACGTCGGCAAACCCAAGTCCTCGTAATTACGTTTCGCCGGCTGGATTCATAATATGTGCAAGCGCTCGGCCGCCATGGCGCCCCAACCCCCGAGACCGTGAAAAATTCTCACTTCCCCCGGGCTCGCCGCCTCTGATGCGCCGCTGTCCCAAGCGCAGCCCAGAGTTAGGTCGGGCATGTCCGCCTACAGGCGGATTTTGGACGAAAAAATTCAACGAATCAAACAAGAATCAAAAAGAGTAGAAAAGAATCGCAAACATCCTCCCCAGACTAGTTTTCCACCAGTTGTGAGAGGAGAGGAGAGGATAAGGAGGAGGAGGAGAAGGATAATGATAAGGATAAAGGAGGAGGAGGTTGATGAGAAGGAGGAAGAGGAGGAGAAAAAGGAGGAGTAGGAGGAAGAGGGGATGGAGAAACGGGAAAACACCCTCCGAGAGACGAGGCACTCCACACTCCCCGGGGAGACCTCTGGAGGACTCCCTCCCCCCCCCCTCTGGAGCGCCCCGCGTGCCCCGGCGGCCCGAGGGCCCCACGCGTGGCCCCACGGCGGGCCCCGTGCGGCCGCGGCGCATCGCCGTCAGGCAAGCCGGCCAGGGCGGCATGGCATCGCACCTCCTCCCCCCCTCCCCCTCCCCCTCCCCTCCCCCTCCCCTCCCCTCCCCCCTCCTCCTCCTCCTCCTCCTCCTCCTCCTCCCTCCTCCTCCTCCTCCTCCTCCTCCTCCTCCCTCCCTCCTCCTCCTCCTCCTCCTCCCTCCTCCTCCTCCTCCTCCTCCTCCTCCTCCTCCTCCTCCTCCTCCCCCCAAACAAACATCGGCGACCAGGGACGGCATGGAATCGCACCTCGCGCCGGAGATCCCTCCCGACGGGCGGGGCCCCGCCTCGGGAGCGCCGCCGCTCCAAGGGCCCCCCAGGGCCGAGCGGTGACGGGCGGCGGGGTGGCCGCGGGAGCCCCGGCGACCTCCCCGCGCGGTGCGTCCCCGCCCGGCCTCGCGCCCTCGGAGGCCCCAGTCGCCCGAGAGGCGGCCTCGGAGAGCGAAGGGCCCGAGTGACGAAGCCGCGCGGCGACGGCGAGCCCCCGGCGGGGTCACCGCGCGCTGTGGTCCAACGCTGCCCTCGAATCCGGCGCCACAAAGCACATGCAGCATCGCGACAGAGCACGCCTGGAGCCCCGAAGCCTGCCTTGCTGCGCCACGGCTCGAGCTGGAGCGATCTGTGAGGGCCCCAGGGCCCCACACCCAGGCGAGAACGCGCGCTGTTTGAAAAAGTGCACCGCCAGGACCCCTGGGGAAACCAAGAGGTACCGATCCCGCTACTCCCCGGACCTCTCCCGGGGTGCCTTGTGACCAGACGTTCCAGGCGAATCCAGCGGTGGCGACGAGGGCGTCCGAGGAGGTCCCAAAATGCGAAAGGGGGGCAAGGGCACCCGTCGGTTGGAAGAAATCATTAGAAACATGAATAGGAAGGCGTTGCAAGTCGATTGGGCTTCCACCCGCCCTCTGAAGAGGAGGGAAGAGGGACAGCCGCTCGACTCTTGAAGTAGGCAGGCGCTTGAAACAGATTGGGATCTGGATATCCGAGACAGCGTGATCCACCGCCGCTTTACTGTGCAAAATTCCCCCCCTCTTCCACCGGAACCCGGGGGTCACCCCCCCCCCACCCACCGGGTCCCCCCCCGCCCTCCGAAAATCCTCCGACCTCCCCACTGCTGGACCCCCCCCCTTCCCCCGGGCACCCCCCCCTTCCACTAACCCCTCCCCCCCCCTCCGGAAAACCGGGGGGGGGGGGGTCACTACTGAGATGCTTATAACTAAGTTCTGGTAGTTCAAGCGAAGTTGTGGAAGTTGGGATGAAGTTGTGGAAACTGTTTGTTCATACACATCGCTTGTTTGTTTAAGGAATTACCCCTATCTTAAACCACTATATCCCGTAATTTCCCCTATCATCAACCATTATAATTCCTGTGATTCAGAAATATTTTAACATAAAAAATTGCGCTACGAATGCAGATGTTAGTTTTTTGGTCAGCCACGTTTTTCTATGTTGATGCGTTATGTCGGCCCCCCATAGCGTTGTTTGTCGTTTTGTTTGCCCAGCGCTTTGCGATGCCAGTGCTTGCGCTCCAGCTCACTTCAATCAAACGCGTTGCCCTGCAGATTGCTTCAAACGTACCAAGCTCATTGCGCTCCAGTTTGAATTCAATCATGCGCTTCGCGCCCCCTTCGTCTCCTCCTCCTTCTCCTCCTTCTCCTCCTTCGCCTTCCCTTCCTTCCAGCGTGCTAAGCTCCTCCTCCTCCTCCTCCTCCTCATCCTGCTTCTCCTCCCCCTCCTCCTCCTCCTGGAGCCTGGAGGTCTGTATTTCCTCCAGGATGACGACGAGGAGGAGGAGGAGGAGGAGGAGGAGGAGGAGGGGGAGCTCCCCCTCACCCTTCCCCTCCTCCTCCTCCTCCTCCTCCTCCTCCTCCTCCCCCTCCTCCCCCTCCTCTTCCTCCTCCTCCTCCTCCTCCTCCTCCTCCTCCTCCCTCCTCCTCCTCCTCTCCTCCTCCTACGCCCCCCTCATTCCCCAATGCGCCCTTGACGCCCCCGACTCTCTTGCCAGTCCTCCTCCTCCTGCTCCCTCCTCCCACTTCTCCTCCTCCCTTCTCCTCCTCCCTCCTCCTCCTCCTCCTCCTCCTCCTCCTCCTCCTCCTCCTCCTCCCTCGTTTGTCTGTCTGCTTGTTCTTTCGACGACGACGTCGGCCTCATGCCCTCCGGATGAGGACGAGGCAAAGATGAGCGCTGAGGAGAAGGGATGTGGAGTGCGGAGGAGGGAGGGGGGAGGAGGGATGGAGAAGGGAGGAGGGAGAAGGGAGGGAGCCTCTCTCTCGCTCCCTCACTCCCTGCCTCCCTCCCAACTGATGGTTGTCCCACTCTCTTTTCCACCTCATCCTCTTTGTCTGTCACTACCTCCTCCACGGAGGCGTCGTCGCAAGGGCGGATCGATCCTCCAGCTCCGAGCCGGGTATGCGCAGCTGGGCCGCCTGCGCAAGCCGCACGAGGTCCTCGCTTATTTTCTCGTAAGGCGGCGGAGTCTTTCGCTCACCGCCCATGCTCATCAGTCTTTTCCCCCGGATATATCTGCCAGTCCCCTCTGCGTCCCTCGCTCTCTATTCTGTCTACCCGTCACCCTCTCTCTCTCTCTCTCTCTCTCTCCCTCTCTGAACATCTGTGCCCCATTTGCCCCAAAGCCTTTGCAACCATTCCGCTTGACCCTGCCGCCTGATCCTGCCGCCTGCAGCTTGATGTGCTCGGTGCTCGCATGCTTCTCTGTCCATTCCCAACGTGCGCCTCGCCCCGTCCTCACCTACATCAGGCACACACGATGAGTACAACGAGAGCATGAGCGATCAGGATCAGGAACACTACTGTGAACGGTCGCGTCTGTCGCCAGTATGTATACATGTATGCATGTATGTATGCATGTCTGTAACTGTGTATGTATGTGAGTGTGTGGGTGCAGGTATTTATTTTGCTACAGGTATACATAAACATGCAGGTGTGTGTGTTTCTACGTATGTATGCATGTATGTGTATACATGCATGCATGCTTGTTTGTACGTATGTATGCATGTGTGATTGTATGTATGTGTTGCTATACATGCATGCACGCATGCATGCATGCATAGGTATATGCACATGGTTATGTGCATGTACACGTATGTGAATGCGTGTGTGTATGTATGTATGTATGTCTGTCTGTCTGTCTGTCTGTCTGTCTGTATGTATGTATGTATGTATGTATGTATGTATTTGTATGTGTATGTATGGATGCATGGGTCTGTCTGTATGCATGTATGCATGTATGTATGTATGCATGTATGTATGTATGTATGTATGTATGTGTGTATGTATATATGCATGTGTGTATGTGTGTATGTATGTACGCATGCATGTATGCACGTATGCATGTACGCATGTGTGTGTACGTACATATGTATGTATGTATGCATGCATGTATGTGTGGATGTATGTATGTGTGTATGTATGTAGGTATGCATGTATGTGTGTATGTATGCATGTTTGCAGGTATGTGTGTATATCGACACACGCTTGTACACACCATTTGAAGGGTGCACCACGACTCCTGTGCACCCCCATGGCCCATGGGCCTTCCAGAGATCAGAGGCTTCCGTGGGGCACCAACTGACAGGCCAACTTCTTTCTTGCCTGAGCACGCCTCCTGCTATGCAGCGCGGCCTCCCGGCCTCCTTCTGCTGCCGTCAGCTTGTGTCGCAGCGGCCGCTCCTCACGATGCGCGCCCTCGAGTTGCAGCCCTCCTCGTGTCGCCAACCCAAGACCTCCGGCGTCGTGCTTTCGTTCTGTTTCGCTGCGCGGCCCCCGGAGCTGGTGGGGCCCTTCGGGGGGCCGCCTCTTCGTCGCGGGTCGTTCTGTCGACGGTGTCCAGCCTCGGGAGAAACACGGCCGCGCAGGGGCCGAGACGCTGGGCGAGCGGGGCGTGGAACTCAAGGGGTCTGGGCCCGGGGCCCCGAGGTCGGCCCCGTGCTGGCTAGAACTTCGAGGGGGGTCCAGGCCCGCCCGGAGGCCCAGAACGGGCCACTCCTCCGAAACAGCAAGAGCACCAGCGATGGTCAGTCCTACTCTGGGGCACCAGCAAGAGCACCAGCGATGGGGCCCCTTCTCAGAAGTCGACCCCCGGACTCATCTTGGCGAGGGCTTTATGAGCCAAGCTGATTACTTACGACGTGCACGCAAGAGGGCATTCATCGATTGTCCCAACACGTGGAAGCACAGCCTCGACCTCGATCCCCGAATGGACAGCGTCCTGCCGATGATTGTGGAAGGAATAGCGGCACTCTGCGCGGATTTCGTGGATCGACGCTGGACCGCCCCGTTCTCACTTGTGTTCTGGATGCGTATGCCGAGGATTCACAAAGCTGCCGTCCGTTGCCGCCTCGTTGCCGCATAGCTTGCACCACATAGCTTTCACCGCATAGCAGTCCAGTGACTCACAGTTTGGGGCCCAGCGCCGACCCAAAAAACTCACGCGGAGCTTTGAGACATTGCGTGTGCGCCGCCTGTGGCTCTGACTTCTCAATTTGGCTTCCCTCGACGTCGTGGACCAACAAACTCTTTGGAGCTCCTCGCGGATCTCTTGAGTTGGCGCTGGGCCCCTGGCGGCACCTCCAGCGCCGCAGCTAGCGCGCTCCGCCCGCCAGCGGGGGGGGCCAGCGCCGATCCAAGATCTGCGCGAAGCCCCGGAAGTTTGCTGATACGAATCAAGAGGGGCCCCGGGAGACGCAGAGAAGTACACAAACACTGTAGGAGTGGCAGTAAGTAGAGCTAGTTGCACACATGTTCTGGATGTTCGAGCAGGGACCGACCGTCCTGGCATTCCTATAGTCCTACCACGGCATGTTCTTAGAAAACAAATATGTTCTAAGACCAAAAGCAATGATCTTAGAACATAAACCCGATGTGTTAAAACAAGACAGGCTCCGCCAGAGATGTTCTAAGAACATTTTGTGGAAACCACAAAAGGTTCTTAGAACATTCTTTGGTGGGGCTATAGGCGAGCCAGGACGCTTCGCCACTGCTTGAGTTCTGGATGTTCGTCTTCCCCTCCATCTGCACCTGTTCCCGGCCTTCCCCGGAGCAGCGACGGCTCTTCGTGCCTGTGCCCGTGCCCCCTGCTGGAACCTGCCCCCCTCCGACCGAGCTCGACCCCCCCGGCGGGCTCGCGGCCCGCCGTCGACCGGCGGCGCGCACAGAGGGGGGGGGCAGGGGGAGGGGGAGGGGAAAGGCTTCTCAGAAGGAGGCTGCTTCTTGGAAGGCGCCCGCCCTGCATATAAATAATCATATATTCAATATGTATATATATATATATATATGTCTGTCTGTCTGTCTGTCTGTCTGTATGTATGTATGTATGTATATATATATATATATAGATGATCAGGCCCGCGCCTCCTGAGAAGCAGGGGTGCTTCTGAGAAGCATCCCCCCCTCCCCCTACTCGGGGGCGCGCAAGCATGGACTAGCGATCCGTGGACTTTGGCGCGCGGTCGCCAAATCCATGGATCGGAGGATGTGCCCTCCCCAAAACGTGGCCGGCGCCGCCTCGTTCGGCGGCGGAGATCCACGACCTCCGATGGAAAGGGAACCCGTCGCTAATCCACGCCCCCTCACTCCACGTTTGCGCTCGCCCGACCTCCGCCTGCCCCCCTCTGCGCGTGGCCGGGTCGAGGCGCCGCTCCCCCGGAGTGCGCTCCCCGAGAGCACCGACGGCGGGCGCTCGGCGGTGGACAAGCCTCCCTCTAGCAAATCACCCTTTCGCGAGAACGGCCCGGGACCGAAACCGACGGACCTGGACCCGCAAGACGACGGCCGCAAGGCGCCCTCTCGCGAACCGAGAACGGCCAACTCGCTTAATCGGCGCGTCGGGGCAGGAGGTCTGGCAGCCTCCGGGGCGTCCTGCTTGCAGAGGGCCACCCGCCCGGAGCGCGCCCCCTTCGGGGGCAGCGCGGCGGAGCCGCCCGACTTGCTGGCGTAGGAGCGGAAGATGTGCTTCATGACCTGAGAGGGGCGGGGGGAGGTGCAAAGACGAGGGGAGGTGCAAAGACGAGCACAGGTAAGATCGCGTCGTAACAAAAAACTCAAGACGGCAGGCTTTGCACGATCTTCGACCCTCGGGGGCCCTCGCCGGGCCCCGGGACTGTCAAGAAACGACTCGGGATGAAGAACCGGTGCTGGGGAAAGGGTCGGGACTTCCAGGGACGCCCTCCTGAAAAAATCAGGACGTCGCGTGTCTGGGATTGGGTCTGGCTTTCTAAAAAGGTGGGGGCGCTTGGCCTTCTCAGAGAAGCTCGCGGGCCCTCAGCAGAAGGCCCGAGCCTTCTTAGACCCACCCCCGCCTTCTCAGAAGGCTGGCCCCCACGCGCTCTATCCTTCATGACATCGGCGGAGGCCTCCAAAATCGAGGGCTGGCAACACATAAGACGAAGCCAAGATGATAATCAACTCCGGTGGGGCCAAATCGAGACTCTCTGAGATCCGGCGGATCTGGAAAACGTCTCGGGCGCAGCGGCCTTCTCAGATTGTTCCGGACTGCTCTGAGAGTGTTCCAGAACGCTCTGGAACGGATTTATCCTCGTCCTAGCCCGGCCCGAAGACACCCTGTAGAAACAAGCCTTTTGACGAGACCTTGCAAGGCCATTGCACGTGCGCACGGAGACGCATTCCGAGTGAACCGGGCAGGGATGCAATCCGACTTTTGAAACGAAGTGAGTGCACCTGGCAAATACAAACGTCGATTAGCCAAACCGACGAAGGACTGCAAAATCAGACTCGAATGCCAATGTCGAGTGATCCGTATGTGGGAACAATATCCTCTTCCATCCTCGTCGTAGTCTTCGTCGTCGTTGTCGTCGTCGTCGTCGTCCTTCTCCTCCTGTTGCTCTCTCTCCTACGAACACCACAAGTGCCTGAGAGCACCCAAGCTTGCCCGCGACCGCCGCCCCTATGGGGATCTCTATGTGGATCTCGATGAGGACCCCTGTGGGCATTCCTATGCGCATCCCTATGCGGAGCCCTATGCGGATCCCTATGCGGATCCCTATGCGGATGCGTATAAGAATTGCCATGCGGAACCCTACGGTGATCCCTATGCGGAACCCTGTGCGGATCCTTATGCGGATCCCTATGCGGAAACCCCTATACGCATGCCTCTGGAGATCCCTATGCGGATCCCACCGCGGATCCCCATGCGGATCCCTATGCAGATCCCTATACGGATCTCTATAAGGATCCCTGGGAATCCCAATGCGGATCCCTATGCGGATCCCTCTGGATATCCCTATGCGATCCCCAGGCGGCTCCCCATGCAGACTTCTGTGCGGATGCCTATGCGGATCCCTACTCGGGTTCCTGTGCGGATCCCTATGCGCACGGCGGCAGTGCCGGGGGCGCACTGGGGGCCGGAGCGACACGTTAGGGGTGGGGGGGGCGGGGCGAGGGGGCCATCCCGCGCGTTATGGCCCAAGCAACAAAAAAGCACTCTCCACCCTGGTCCTTCCCTTCCCCCCTGATCCTGCCCCATTTTCCAGTCTCAGCACCATCTCCTAACACCCCCGTGTCCACCTTCTCCTCCGGCTCCTCCGCCTGCCCTCTTCTCTCCGCGCTGCTGCCGCTGCTCCTCCTCCGAGTATATCTTCGTGCGCCGCCTCCACCGCCTCTCTCCGACACCCGCTCCGGCTCCTCCTCCTCCTCCTCCTCCTCCTCCTCTTCCTCCTCGCCCCTCCTCATCATCCTCCTCCTCCTCCTCCTCCGCCTCCCCTCCTCCTCCTTCTCCTCCTCCTCCTCCTCCTCCTCCTCCTGCGAATACCCCCCTGATTCTCAGTCACCTCCTCACTCTTTTCCTCCCCCCAGGTCCACGACGTCCACAGCATCAACAACCTCCTCCGCCCCATCTCGCAACCTCCTCGCACGTTGCGATAGATTGAGATCGTCAGCGGGCACGTTGCGATAGAATGGGAGCGTCGAACAATAGACCTCGATTACGAATTCTGCGGCCACGCAGGAGGCAGAGGCGGTGGAGGAGGGGGAGGAAGAAGAGGACGACGACGACATGCTGAGTTAGGAGCAAGGACGGGCAAACCAGAGTTCTAACATGTCGATATCTGCATCTCGCGCACCCCCAACCGACACAGACGGGAGACGGTCCTGGCAGCAGGGATCGCGTACTGCTCGTATAATTTTGCAGATCGACCCCCCAAGTCCACCGCGAACGCTATCCGCAACACATGCAAACTGGTTCACTAGAGAGATTGGAGTCGTCGGCAGCGACTCTCGAGAGGATCAAGGGCGGCGAGGGCAGCAAGAAACACCACTTCCCTCTGAAGACGTCTTGAACGCAACATTGGCTCTTTCCTGATGGACAGGGCGAATGAGCGTTCGCATGCGTCAGCCGCACCACAACGAAAACAACCGAACATGTGGCAGGGCTCTGGCAACGCGCGAGCTGCGCATTGGGATCCTGTCGCCCAACTCATTATCATTCAACGTAGCCGGTATGGTTAGAAGAAATGTGAGCTGGCAGTGCGAACATGGCTGGACATAGGAGAAAGCTGTCAATCGGTTGAGTACCAAGATTTGTGCTCTTGGCGAACGCATGCACGGGTGCACCAGAAGTGAACAATGTTGAGCATGATTGAGCTTGTCGGCGGCGAGCGAGAGGGGGATGTGCGAAGGAGAAGGCCTTCTCAGAAGGCGGCTGGCCTTCTCAGAAACCATCGCGCCTTCTACAAGGTTATTTCGTGTTTTCCGGGAAAGATGTGAAACCTTCTCAGCAGGCCGGAGGACTTCCGAGCCTTCTGAGAAGGCCCACGCCTTCTCCCGTCCCTCCTGTGCTCGCCACCGAGCCCAGACAGGTTGCAACAGAATGGCAATGGAGACTCTGGCTCCAATTCCACATGTGGCTCCAGATTATCATCCTCCTCCGCTGCCTATCCTCTTCCCCTCTCTCGCAATGTCCTCCTCGCCCCCATCCGTTCGAAGCTGGTTGCTGGCCCTCTCCGCCGTTTTCCATGTTGCGTAGTAATCCCGAACGCTTCCAAATGAAACCTGAAGAAACCAACGAAACAACGGGAACTCTGGGTGGATCTGATCAGGCCATCCGTGGAACGAGTGGTTCTGCAGCAAAGCAGCTGAGCCCCGTGCCCGGCCAATGTCGGCGTCGCCGCCAGAAGAGGGCGAACCTGGTGGCCACTCCTCGAGACGCAAGTCAGACTGGGCAAATAAGTGACCGAAGAATAGTGAGAGACCGAGGGAAAAACCTAAGTGCTTTGCTCATGTAACGCCTGGCGAAGCCATCACAATCAGCTGTCAACGTGGAGAAGTCCTTCAACCCTGACGTGGGTTTGAAAACACGCATTGTCGGTAGTTGTAAGGCAACTCAGGGGAATATGAATTCCAAGAGAGACGGCTCGAAAAGCAAATTCGTGAAAGAACACTCGAGCAAAACGGAAGAGGCAAACACTGTCAATACACACCGCTCCACGACCGAATCGCACCAGCAAGATCCTGGGGCAAAGAAAATGCACAAGTAAGCCTGCGACCCAGAGCGCAACCAGCGAACCTGGACACGCGACAGTGTAGATCACGATTCCTGGCGCACACGTTACACCTTTCAAGCATCCACAAAACAACGACTGGCAATCTAGAGAAACGCTACTTCGAAATACAAGCTAAGGGCTGACTGTGCGTTCGTCTAGCCTGGGCTTGCGAAGCCATTTGCAACTGTATGCCA